TGAAACCTGGGACTTCTTAATTGCATTCATTTGTGAAAATATTGAGCTTGATCCTTTAGCCTTTATGAAAGTCAAACACATTATATTCCAGAGGTCTTTGATGTGTATGAGGACTGCAGCTTCTGACCCATTGTTAAGAATAAGCTTGTTTTGATCCGGATTTCATCTAGGCCAGAACTCTGGGTGTTCGAATCTGGTACAGCTGGTTTGGCCAATTATTCAGGTGTGGGCCATTTGCAAAATGTGGAGTTGAGTCCAGCTTTGGATTTCAACACCCCGACATTTGGGGTTTCAGTGTGTTTCAGCCCATCTGTGTTAATATATTAAAAGTGCTAATGAGGTTTGTACTTCCGCATTAAAAAAATTGGTGAATTATGGTGGGACATACATACACACTCTTAGTACAGACCCAAAGAGAACTGATCTTTTCACGTATACAAAGACCGCCCGCAAGAGAATGACTGTCTGAAAAATGTATAGTTCTTCTTCGAGTGACTTCTCATGTGTATTCTCCAATAGGGGTGCGTGCTCGCCACGTGCACCGGAGCTGGAAGTTTTTCCCCTAACAGTACCCATAGGGGAGTGCCCTAGCGACCCCTGGAGTGCAACACTTATAGGTGACCTATGCCAGTGAGTGATCCCCATGCGGACTGTTTACGCTGTTTCTGGGGAACCCATCTCCGCGATCACTGCAAGATTTGCAAGTTGTTTAAGCCTCGGACCAAGAGAGAAAGGGACATTAGGCTCCGGGCTATTCTGATGGAGTCGGTGGTGACCCTGGGTCCAGCACGGCGTTCCGAGTCGGCACCAAGCACCGTGGTGTCAGTGCGCGGTGACCCTTCGGTGCCATTGACTAGTCGGCACCGCTCCCTGTCCACGGGGCACGCCAAGAAGGCTAGGAAAAGGACTTCTTCGCCGCGGCACCGGAGTAAACCCAGGACAGAGGCTAGACCCATGTTGGCAGTCCTTGATCCCTACTGGCCTTTAGGCCTCCGAATCAAGTCAAGTAGAGTAGCCTGGCCCATTCGGAGCAGGCCTCCCCAGATGTCCCGATGCCCTCCACGCAGGTGGCCCAGGATGTTATGTCCATGCCGGTACCAGGAGCACGGCCGATGTCAGCCCCGCGCTCCAGAGGCAAGCCGCTGCTGGGATCTCCGCAGTTGCCCCTGGCTCGGTACCAGTCTCAGTCGAGGGGATGTCGGGAACACCTATTGTGGAATACATGTTCCCAAAGCCGTTCAGCACCCAGCAACCATTCAGGGCAAAGTCCATGTGGATCGCCCTCGACGCCCTCCAGGCTGTCTGGTTGGGTTCCATCTGGCCGAGACTCTCAGCACCGCTCCGCCTCGAGGAGCAAACATCAATAGGACTAAGGCAGATGACGCAGAAGGTCCCTGTCTCAGAGGGTCACAGCACGAACGTCGACATCATTCCCGTTTGTCGTCCCGCTCTAGGACCCCGCCACGGCACCACCTCAGCAGTCCCGAGCATCAATTGCCGGTGTCTTGCCATCGGGGGTCCAATTACAGACAATACCAGTTCTCCATATCAGGATCGCGGTCCCATGGTTGGCATCGCTCCCGGCGCCGCCGCTCCTCCCGATCCAGGGACAGCGGCAGGTCGTATATCAGCCTGGCCTCCCTTTGTAGTCATCCATCAATGGGCCAGGCCAGCCAGGCCGAACAGCCGGCTCTGCCGGTGCCATAGCAGGTGCAGTGGCACCGGGCCCTATGGCTGGCCCAATGGTACCAGTGGGCACCGTGGCCCCCTACACACTAACTCCCTGGTGGTCGAATCGGTCAACCACAGGGAACGGCAGGGCCAACCAGCCCCTACCCCGAAAAAATAAAGATTCAAGGAGGTTGGACTCATTTGAAAGAAATATTTATTCGTCCTCGAGCTTCCACTTATGGGTGGCGAACCACCAGGTTCTCCTGAGTTCAATCTGTGGGGCTCGCTGCCCAAGTTCGAGGACTCCCTCCAGGAGCGCGACAAGAAGGAGTTCAAAGCGCTGGCGGAGGAGGGCACAGCGGCTGCCAGGGCAACCCTGCAGGCAGTGTCAGATGTAGCAGACACAGCCATGCAGTCCATGGCCTCTGCGGTGTCCATGAGAAGGGCGTCATGGCTCCTGCTCTCTGGGTTGTCCAGCGAAGCGCAGACCTCCCTGCAGGACCTTCCGTTTGACGGCAAAGCTCTGTTTGCGGAACAAATTGATACAAAACTGCATGGCCTGAAAGACTCCCGCACGACTCTCCGGACTCTGGGTCTCTATGTTCCGGCTCCAGCTCAACCTAACTTTAAGCTGCAGCAGACTCCTGCTCAGGCCACCCATTCAAAATACGAGACCGCGTATAAAAAGTCGCAGGACTATAAGAGGCGCCCACAGAGGCAGTCTCAGCCTGCCCCCCTGCCTGGGTCCTCCAAGGACAAGCAAGCGGGGAAAAGGCGGTTTTGACAGGACACCCGGGGTGCCCTGCCAGTTCTCCTCAGGGATCCACCCTCAATAAAGCTTCCCTTCTCCAATCGGTTGTGTGCTTTCCTCCCAGAGTGGTCGCGGCTGACCTTGGACTGATGGGTCCTCAACACCATCTCCCAGGGCTACACCCTCCAGTTTACTTCCACCCCGCCCAACCACCCTCCGCCCCTGTCCCTCTTGGGGAACCCCTCGCATGAGGCTCTGCTCAAGCAGGAGGTGGGGCAGCTCCTGGGACTAGGAGCGGTGGAAGCGGTACTGGGGGAGTTCAAAGGCAAGGGGTACTACTCCTGCTATTTCCTTATCCTGAAGGCCAAAGGGGGGCTCAGGCCCATCTTGGACCTGCAAGGCCTGAACAAATACATGGTGAAGCTCAAGTTCCACATGGTCTCCCTGGCCTCCATCATCCCCTCCCTGGATCCTGGGGGCTGGTACGCTGCCCTCGATCTGCAGGATGCATACTTCCACATTCATATCTTTGAGGGGCACAGACGCTTCCTCCGTTTCATGGTGGGGCAGGAACACTACCAATTTACAGTCCTCCTGTTTGGCTTGTCCATTGCCCCCAGGGTATTCACGAAATGTATGTCGGTGGTAGTGGCCTACCTCAGGCGCCAGGGGGTCCAGATCTTTCCCCTATCTGGATGACTGATTAGTCAAGGGCAGCTCCCAGTTGCAGGTGCGGGATCATGTGGCGCTCCT